AGTATGTCAAAACTGTTAAAGGAATGAACCCAGCTTTAAGGAAAATCCCTTTTGTTGTTTCTAGACCAGTGTCTGGGTTTGTTTCTCCTCCTGTGGGGGCCACCTGTGTTCCCAGGATTAGTTCGTCATAGAGATGGATTAGATCAGAGCCCGTTACTTGCCTTTTTTTGTTTCATAACCAAGCAGCGCTTTGGCTAAAAGCAGATTTTACCTTCCTGTTGTAGTTTCTAAATCCCAGCGCTTGTTCCTTCCTATGTTCTTTAACATTTGTCATCTCACTCAAAAACATAAAACATGAATCAAACACAATTTCCTCTAAAACTAATAGAAAACCAGATTTTAAAACAGCTTCTGCTTCTTTTCTTCGAACAAACTGCCAAATAAGTAATTCGCTCAAATATAATGCTCAGAAAGTTAATTAAAAAAATGAAGATGAGGTCAGTGTTGTTTTTCTCCAGCTTTCATCTTTTTTTCTTTCCCCCATTTGGATTTTGAATGTGTTTTGTGTGAAAGAGGCTGTTATTAAAGAGAAGCATAAAAATGTAAAGTCAGGGGAGTGGAAAAAGTGGGGTCCTTTACGTTCTTTCCAGAGTCAGTCGAAACTATTTGAAAGCGAAGCCACAAATGATGGTTCTGCATATTTCTCTGTGTGAGGCTGCGCCTCAGTGGTGCTGCTTTATTCAGTGTTATGTCAATCTTTGAAGGGGAAAATAGACTTGCAACACTGCCACCTACAGGTGTTTGCTGATATTGCTTAAGAAGTTAAACTAAATCCCTCCTTTTTGTGTGTAGATCTAGACACTTGCTAGTTTTCTAAATGTGTTTTGCTTGAGTATGAAAGTTTACTAAGAGTGAAAGCAGATTCAACAATTCCCGGATGATTGTTTTTGTAGTTTGCAGTCATGAAGAATAAGATCAGGCTCTACTGCAGTTATGGGGTTTTTTCTTTTGACCAATATATACTGTATGTGTGTATGTGTTCTAACAAATCATTGACATGTTTTGTTTATTGGCTGCAAAAACAATAAAAGATAAAGATAATACAGTGGCAATTTAAAGCTCTGGCTTTAACCTGCAAAACGTTTGTCTTTAAATAAATGTTGTAATCTGAGAGCTGCACATATACAATCATGCACCCAGGCCAGGATGCATATTAAAACAGGTTTATTTGCTGGGGATAAATAGATCCATGTCACTTCTGCTTGAATTCCTTTCTGAATATTTGCCAATAGTGAATGTTGTTAGATGCTATAGCCAGGTTAAAGCTGTGCCACTTTTAAATCCAATTTACAATTTCAACCTTAGTTATCCTGTCATCCAGTAGGTGGCAGTAGTTGTCTTATAATCAGCTGCAGATCCATGGTGAACTTCAGACCCAGTGAGGACTGAGGATCATATCACTGTGTCAGCTTACCGGAAAAGTCTCTATCTGGGATATTTCCTATGTATTTTTATTTATTTATTTTTTTGTAAATCTTTAGTGAGATCTGTTTTAATATAATATAACAATATTTGTATTTCTCAGAATACTTTGAGTGTTATTGTTGGGAGTATGAGATAATATGTCATTGAAGGATTCTTTAAAATGCAAATTACTGTTCATCAGGTGGGAAGACTGAAGCACCATAACCTGAGCAACAGCTACTGCAGATCAGGCTTGTTTTTTAAAGAGACCAACCCTGAGCTGTGTGCTTTAAAATGAAAGTTAGAATGTGAGATTCTCACTACTAACTTTATATAAATGAAACAAAATAAGCTGGATTTATGTGAACCATCAAAAGTAAAATGATTATCATGATCTATCTAATAGAAAATTACAAGAAATGCTTGTAATGCTGCACCTTCATGTAGCATTGCTTAGGTGCAATGTAGTTATGCATTATGTTAATTCACTGTTATCTGTAGACAACACGTTACTTACTGGTGCTGCTTACTGGTTTCTCCAGGATTCACATTTCAGGGCTTCTTGCTTTAAGTGAAAATTTGAGCTGAAATATTTTGGGATGTTCAGCTGGAACCGCAGGCTTACATTTAATATAGTTTTTTTCTATGAGTTTCTTGTTTTGCTCTAATATCTTTTCACATTATGTCTGTTTTTAAACTTTCTATTGTAACGGTATTTATACTTTTCACCTATAGTCTTTTCCTTTTCTTTTCTCCCTTTTTTTGTTCCTAACTTAACCTTCATCACTATGACTAGTATCTTTGATGGAGGGATGTTTTGTTTATGTCGCTCATTAGGCTAACAGAACAGAACAATATACCACAGAAGACATTGACTCTGATGACTTTGCCACCTCTAAATGTTAGTCAGTATCAATATTGTGTTGATTAGTATCTGAAAAAATGGCATTTAAAAAATTGTATGCATCTGTTATATCAGGTACCATTCACAGAGGTAGTCTGACTTTTGGCAGCTGTCCCTGGGGGGACCGGGAGCTTCAGTCTAGGGCCCAACCCTGGCTCTCTACTCTATAGCTTAGCAGTTTGCTGTGTCAAGCCAACAATGTCCCATCAACACTTTGTCTGCTTCTGTGCCGCTCTAAGCCGCTGCTCTCTTTAAACATTTCAGATAGGCGGTAGTTCTGGGTGAACCTCTGTTAAGGGTTAATTTTAAAATAACACTAAACAGAGTTGCTCGAATTTCATTCCCAGCATCAACATTAACTTATGGAGAAACTAGCTTTTGCGTGGTTGAAATAGACTAAACAAATATTGAATTAACACTGTACTTCAGTAGCAACAACACTGGAAATCTAACATGTTTGATTTTGCTGTATTTGACAGCATTAGAGGGAAGTTCTATCAAGTTTCTGCCGAAAAAGACCCCTCAGAAAATATAAGATTAATTTCACAAATTTACAAATAAAAACTAAAGAAATGCGAAAAAAAAAGCTTAAATATGTTTAATATTACAGGAAACTTCTTTTTCAACATCTTAACTAAGTTTCTAAACATCAAATCGTAAATTTGCAAGAAAAAAAGGAAATTTGTCCAAAAAAGCAACAGCTTACAATTATGAGGAAAAACTCAATTTCTGATAAAACGTCAAAAAGTTCCTTAAGTTTAAAGTGATACATTTCTGAGCCGTGCTTCTGGTTACTTCCCAAACTATAAGTGGTTACATGCGGGTCCTTCTCCTGGGTGCAGACGTTCCATGAACCCCTCAGATGAGGGTCCGCCTAACTAACACTTAGGAAGAAGCTTAACATGTCTGCATCAGGTAGCTCTTTCTGTGCTTTAATTATTATTGTTAGTTAGGAGTCATCTTTGTTCCTACTAGTCCTGATAGATTAGCACCTTGGGTAATGTTCATTGTAGGTCTACACCTGGCAGAAGCTGTTCCCACACAGGAAAAACAGACTTAAAAAACTTAATAAACTTGCCTTGCCTTAAATCCAGAAGCGGTTTTCATAAATGGATTTCTTAAACTTAAAAGCACTTCTGGCATTTTTATCAGAAATATTAGATTTAAAATCTCAGAAGATGTCAGAAAACATCTTATTTTAGTTATTTTTTAAGGAAAAACTAAAAATTGGTCTTTTGGGGGGAAAAATGTATTAAATTTATTAAACTATTAAAACATGTTTGATTTGATTTTGAGAGTTTAATCCAAACCGTAAAAATTTACCAAGAATGTCCAAATGGCATGCTTTCCATGCAGGCCTCTGTAATACAGGGCCTGCTGACCGAAAGATAAACTCCTTCCTTTCCAACCCAACAAACAAAAACCTTTTCTAATGAACGCTAAACATGGAAAGCACCCAGTTCAGTCACAAAAAAAGGAAGTAATGTATTCTGTTCTTCGGGTGCCAGTATGATGAGACGTTTGAATGGTTTTAAACTGTACCAGCTTTTAACATTGGCGCTTTTTAATTCAAGCACCAGCCCATGATGATGACTCATACAGACTAATCAGACTAACTTTACCCTTAATTCTTGTTTATATTTTTAGATCTGATGATAGAGAACCCCATGGATAATCAAACGCATTTTGGTGACGTGTTATGCTGTCTGCAGCGCTTTAGGGCTGAAGTTTTTTTTTTTTTTGTGGTTTAGTATTTCTAGGAAGGGATCATCCTCAGGTCTGCTTTTATGAACTGGCCCACATGAAGGACTGTAACTCTGAGGGTCCTCAGAACCAAATCAGCATGAACTGTCATTAAATGTTTCTATAATCGTAGGATTGTTGCTCTCAGACACTCAGCCCTGTGTGGCTCCATGTGCCTGCTGGCGGCGTCTCAGGACAAGCTCTCTGTTGTCCCTCCACTCTGCCGTCGCCACATCTACCTCCAGTTTTCCGCCAACAAAGGCTTCCCAGTAGCTTCCACTAGTCCTGCAGCACAAACGCAAACACAGGGACGTGAGGTCTGTGGGCCAGTGTGCCCCAGCAGACAGTGGGGTAGCTGTGCTGTCTGCCAGCTCTAGGAGAGGGCCACTTTGTTTCAACTCAGACTTGGACACAGGCCAGGCAATCGGAGAGTTACTCACTGGGTCATTTTATAAAGTAATTGAATCAAGTTTATAGTGGTGGCTCTGGGAGCAGCCTTATTCCCATCTATTCCATCTATTCCAGCCTGTTGATAGTTTGCTGTTATCCGCTGGTCAGATTATCGGGAATAGAGTGAATTAGCAGCATTTTGAACGCTTGATCAAATGCATAAAGATAATGAATGCACCAAAATGTCGCTACACTTATTTAACGCTTACAAATTAGGTTCTACATTAACATTAATTCAGATGAAACAATTTTAGCAGTCATTACAAGTCATTACAGGAAAAAAATGAATTTTTTTTTATTTCAATTATTTGTCAAACTGCTCATTATTTGATCAGAGTTTCTTTTTTAAACAAATATTTGAAGAAAGAAAAGAACATTTAACACAGAACATAGAAAAAGAACTTCATCTAAGAAATTAACATTTTAACTGACAGCATCTTTGTGTCCAGATTTACTTGATTCTATAACCTAAGACTGACCTTCTGCTCCTCTTCCTCAGGACCTGGAGATCGTCTACTCCTATCTCCATGGGATGGAAGCTCTGTCCAACCTGCGGGAACACCAGCTCAGGTAGGCTCAAACTGAAACATGCTTCATCTGCCTGCATCTCATAGTGGGTTAAATATATCAGAGGATATGATGTTTTCGTGCACACCAGACCTCGAAGTGACAATAAAAGTAGTCTAAGCCTGGGTCAAAGGACTAGATAGGCAGAATTAATCAGATGAAACTCGTTAAAGAAAAAAAATCAAGCAAATTTAATATTGCTGTCAAATCAACAGTGTTTCTTGGCGACATGCTAATTATTTTGGACAATTCTTTAATGTTTGCACATAAAGCATATAACACTTCTTCCTTTTTCCAGATTGTTTAGAGGATTTGCTTTTAACTGTTGCATCCGCCTTAAGTTTAAGTAAAGCTACGCAGTTTGTGGAAACATTTTCTATTGCATTGTTAGTTTGCTCTATATTACAGGTGTTTGGACATACTATTTGGTAGCATGCTATGACTTCACTCTCTCAATTATAAATAAGTGACCATGACAAAGTGATGGGTATGGGATGGTGGAAATAAGGAGACATCATATTTTCCTAGTGGTGAAACTGTAGTCTGTATTGTTTTTAAATAGCATTTACTCAGAGGCAAATCTCTAGTAAAAGAGTGAAAAAAGTGAATTATGTATATGAAATGTAAAGAGTAATATTAGTTTATAGCAGTAAATCTTGTTGTGACTAAGATTCATATAATAAAATATAAGTGGATGCTAACATATAATGAGATGACAGTCAAACCTCGTAAAATGAACTGGTTCTGTTTTTGACATGCTTATAAATTTCTGAAAATGTAAAGATATTAGATTGAATCTGTTAAATTTAGATGCAAAAATTAATGTGTATTGAGATGGTTTTGCTCTTTGGCCTCTATGCCCCCCCCCCCCCCCCCCACCACCTAGCCTCTGCTCTCCAAACAGAGCGTGTTAGAAGTCTGTTCCCAGCCTGGCTTGTGTGCGTACACAGGGATTATATTGACCCAGGAACAATGTTTCCGCGCACGACCCGTGAGCTAGAACATTCCACGGCCTGACCCTTCAGAGGCCTCCCGCCCAGCAGTAACCCTGCTCAGTTCTGCCCATTTGGATCCTGAAGAATGTCCTCGCAATCCCACAGACCAGCCCACCATTCCTACCAACTTCCAGGCAGCCAGACATGCCTCTAACTATGAGATTATGTAAAATCCTTTTTTTCTCTCATAATTTTCCCACATAAGGAATGTGTTGTTGTTCTACGTTTTTTGAGGGCTTTTTTTTTTTAGTTTGTTTTGAATATTGTGCACACTGATGTCCAGTTAAAGTGAATTTTTTCCATCAAGCCTCTTGACATTTCTAGACATCTGGGGAAAAAACAGACCTTTTCTCTATGGCTTCCTAAATATTTTATACTAGCTAAACAGTCTAAGATCCCTTCTGTTTGTCTGTATAAAAGCAAATAGATAAGAGTGTTATATTCTAGAGTTTAGTTAGGAAAAAATGACAGAATTTCATAAAATTTGGTATAAATTTCATACTTGGTTCAGTAAACTGAAACATCCTTGCATCACTTGAAGCAGAGTTATCTTTCAGTATTGAAAGAAAGCAAATTATGCGTCCTTGGTCCGTCTAATCTCTTTAGGATTTATTAGATAAAGGTCAGCTTTTTTTCAAGAGAACTCAGTGATGAATCTAGGCTTTAAGCTGCAAGGTAAACTCCTCTAATCCAAACGTAAACCTTTTATTGTTGTTTCGCCTCTCTTTAACAAAGGCTCTGAGGCTCACGCTGCGACAGTGCAGGTGGTTAATGGCAGAAAGGATAAAGGGCAGATTGTTTGCTGGCAAAACTGGTTAGCATGAATAAAAACCACACTATCAATCGATTACATACTTAGAAGGCAAAGCTTAATAAATAGCTTAGTTATGAGGTTCGCTGAACAAGGGCTGCTTGTTATTCTCTTTTCAGTTTGGAACATGGAGAAAATCTAGCTTTATCTGTAGCCTTTTAGAACCAGTGGAGTAAACTAGACTGCACATTTTGCTCTCTCCTACAATGGACATCATAAATCACATTTACAACCCATTTTTACTCACCTAATTTGGAGGTTAAAGATGAATGTTGCCATGGGGATGAGGTAACATTTTCATGCTCTTTTTGTATTTCCAATTATCATTATTTTTACTAAAATATCCATAAGTCTGGGCCTTTCTATGATTAAAATATGTCCATCTTTGGCCAGTTTAAGTCCATTTGCATTGGCTGGATATATTTCGAGTGTCACTGCAGGCTCCCTGATTTATTTCAGTCTAGCAAATATTGAGTCCAAACCGTCTTTTATAACTGCATTTTGTACATAACCATGAAAAGGAATTTTTTTTAAAGATATATTCTGCAGCTGGAGATCCTAATAATTATAGGAAGGTGCTCGTTTTTTTTTTATTTTTTAGGTGTTTCTTTAAAGTATTTTTATTGGGCTTCATAATCTAAAAAAAACAAGAGAGGAGAACTTTTTTGTTGACGGCAAGCTAACATGCAGTTTAATTCCTGCTCTCCTCTGCTTTTTTCCATCTCCCAACAATCTGTGATATTGTTGAATTACACACTTAATATATGTAGGCTTACATTGGAAGGCAATCGGAGATTCATTCAGTTTCTTGAAGATTTCTTTTTCCACCTATCCAGGAGTCTTTGACATTTCTTTTGGCTCAAACCAGAGCTCTGGTGTTCTCCTGGTAAGGTGTTGAAACGCCATAAAAAAACAAAGCGACAGGCTGGTTGGCTGCCAATTCAAGCCTGTTTTTTTGGTTGCCGTGACCCCAATGACTGTAATTAACAACATTATCCCAATGAAGCCCTTTCAGACATCAGCCTGTGACCTGAAGGCGTTGTAGCGAAACAAGCAGATAGAAGATAAATAACATTTTTGAATGAACAACAATTCTTTGTGATTTTAACACTGTACACACTGATGTTCATTGCTCCTACTGTGAGGATGTCCACTTGGACTAAAATATTGAGATCCAGAGGGTGCATAAGGAAGCTGAAAATCCATCCAGCAAAAATAATAAATATATTGTAACTGGAAATGCACCAGTACAATACCTGGATGGGATATCGGCTTCAATATTGACTAATTAGCTCGATTGGATATTTGTGATTTATCGGATATTATAGAACCCATCAAGTGCACTTAACATGAAAATATTACGTCTTTCTTTTTGTTGCTTATTTGTAAATAAATGAAGTAAAGTAGATTTTTATTGTGTGTTAATTTGTTAGCTTTTTGAACAATGTTTTTTGTCAAGGCTAAAGGCTTCACTCACATGGCAAGATAGGCGGTTCATTCATTTAACAGTTGTAATAGATCGTACCGGATATCAGACGATACGCTCAGTCCAGTTATCAGATTGGATTGAAAAAAGGGGCATCGGTGCATCGCTAATTGTAGCAAAAGATAGTTAAAATGCATTGCAGCCAAACTGGTAAAGCCCCCAATTATTAAATTCAAGCAGTTCTTAGCTGTTTTAATGTTGGATGATGCTTTTAAAGACATTGTGCAGCTCTGATTGCAGCTAAGTCTTGTATTTAAATAACATGCAGTCGTATTGAAATCTTAGAGAATGTTACACCAGAGGATCAGACTTCCCTTCCACCTGCAGCTTCATTAAATGCAGCTCAGAGTCTCAGCCTGTTGGTTTATCTAAACATTTAACAATGTGGTTGCTGCACATCATTGACTGTGGTGGAAAATAACTCGTAGAAATGTTCGGAATGTTGTTTATGTAACATAAAATCAATATTTACTGAAGCTTTTTATTCTGGTTTGGTTTTACTAGGCGTAATAAATGAGTTATTTCTGCTGCTGATGACTGACATTCTTCTTGCTCTGTTTCCACAGAATAATGTGTGAGACGGTGCGCTACGAGAGACACGAGGCCAATGAAGTGCTTTACTAGTAAGTTCTATAGGATGTGGACTTCAATGGAAATTCATCATTTTAGGATCGATGACCTCAATGTCTATGATTTACTGTTGAGTTGTATAAATTCAGCAGGTTGCAGATCCAGTAAGTGGTAAAAAGCATTTCTGTCCTTTGTGATGAAAACCAGGGCAATAATCATTGCTGATGATCTGGAACAGATCAAATTAAATGTCGCAGGTAAATGAAAACAAATGTGTCTGAAGAGCAGAAGGATTTAAGGAGATCTACTGATGAAAATTAGTGTGTAAACAATGTTGGTTAACTTAAAAGTTACTAATTTCATTCTTTAACGTATAACGTCTAGCTTCATTTAATTGGGGGTAAATTGATGGGTTCTTGTTGTGTTAGATCAGTTTTCATTCTGCTGCTTCTGTGAGGAGCAGAAAAAAGGCAAAGAGTTTGACTGCTGTCACATGATGACGTCTTTTTAACACCCACAGTGAGAATTAAAGCTGTTAATTAAATCTATGAGCTTTTCAACAGGCTAGAAAGAGTTCAGAGGCCGTTATTTCTCCTTCTTTCTGGAAGAAGACCTGACACCTTAAAAGTCCCCCACATGGTTTAGCTGCAGGGCTGACAGAACGTTAACAGATTAGATATTGGTTTAATGATGTTGCCACACATCGATCACAGCACTAGGGCTGGGTACCGAACTTCTTTCTTTTATGGTACCGACTGAAATGCTTCGGTTCTACAGAGTATCAAAACATGCCTCGTCTTTCGGTACCAAGTTTCGGTGATTGGCTGTAACAGTTAACGTGATTGCGTCATCCAGGAAAAATACACAGGTGGTCACGCCTATAGCCAGGGTTCATGTGTATCTGTTGTGAACTGGTTGCAGCATCGTGGAACCCCTTTAAAATGCCCCCCAGGTCAAAAGTGCGGCTTCACTTTATTAAGACTGATGCTAATAGTGTGCAATGCAATACATCGTGTACGGAAAAAATTTAAGAGCAGAAAGTTGCTCGGTGTTTGACTGCAAGAAGAGCGGACCGCAGCCAGCGCGACCATCCTCCTCTCAGCAGCCTGTGGGCAGCGCAAAGCCAGAGCGGAGTGAATCATGCTGCAGCAGGAGCAGCAAAATCACGTCTGCTGCTTCCTTTTTTGCTGCATGTTCCGGCTTCTGACGCGTGGCTGAAGAAGCTTTGCTGCTCTGGCTGCGCGGTCGCAAAGTGGCTCTAACGCGCGTTGGGCGGAGCTACTCTATCCTTTATTTGCCTTGCAGCTATATTTGCTGTGATCAGTGGGAATAAAGTAGTTTTATTATGTTTTTAAGTGGGAAAATCCACCTGAAAACTTAATCAGTGCAGTCAGTTCATCCTGCCTTCCAATATTCTTTCTGTGGGAGCCGCTCAGACCCCCACATACCAGCGGTGCGCTGTCAGTAGGATCCCATTCAACGGGCTTGTTTGTCAGACATGGTAATTTTTCTAAAGGAAAACTGCTAAGTAAAAAGGTCCTCACAATGTAACAGTGAATATTAGACACTGATTTTTTTTTTTTATGTAAGAGGAAAAATGTAAATGGAAAAATCAGAGCTTAAAATAAAACTCAAGATTTGTACTTTTTTATGTTGTGTAATTCTCTTTTTCTTCGAATTGATATTATAAAACTGGTATCGAAAAAAGTATTGTTCAGGAACCGGTATCGAAGTGAAGGTATCGGTATTGGTACCGGAACCGAAAATTTTTTAACAATACCCAGCCCTACACAGCACATAGAAGGAAAATGAACTAAAATTAATGCCATGGAACTATCTCATTCCAAAGACTATCTCCTTCCACCTGAAGAAGAAAATACACAGTAAAGAATGGATGGTTGGATACTTTTGTTTTTGGGAAAAGTTTTTATAGTGCTTGGATTTTTTACAATGTCACACTGACTGCAAAGAGAGGCTCCAACTAGGCAGGGTGGCCAAATCTGCACAGATTATGGGCAGTAAAAAAAAAAATACTGCTGTCTCTTTGCCAGAAAAATTAAAGCAATTTCCCACATTTGCATTGGATTATTAAAAGTTATAAAAAATGTAAAAAAAAAAAAAAAACACCGGGACAGCTCCCCACATAACAAGTCTGTGCAGCATCTCACACCAGAACCTATAGAGAATGTCCCTATATTAAAAACATAATGAGATCTACATCAGAAGAAAAGGAAAACAGCAATAAACGCTTTGGGACAGTTTATGTGCTGACTGAATTCTCCTGAAATCCTATCATGGGTAAAGTTTTATTTTTTTAATGTTTCATTCATTGTTTTTGCAGCAGTCTGTCAAGCTTACTATATACCCAATGTGGGACCCCAAAACGGACTATTTCCCTGTGCGATTAACAGATTTTATTTGTTATTTCCCCCCAAAGCAGATGTGTTTTACTTTGTCAACGCATCTCTCCTCCTGACACCCCTAAATTCGCCGCTAAATTGATGCATAGTCCGACTAAAATAGACCCGGGGTCTTACTCTATTTACCCCAGTCAGATTCTGCGTGGCTGGTGTGATCATCCCCATTGACTTTGGACCTCGTCCGACACGATTTTCTGTTGGATTAGATACAAAATCGCATTGGGTGTGTTCTGGCCTTAAGGGAGATACATACTTTGATGCAAATTGAAAACAGCAATCACATACAGGCAGGTACAAACTCCCTGCAGGTGGTTCTGATAGTTGCGGTGTTTGGTGCAAGTAGTTTGGAATGTAAAGGTCTTAATTTAACAGCTGCCTTCTAGCTGATTTCTTATAGAAAGGGTGAAGAAGCAGTGAGACAGCAGCCCTATCTCTTCCTCATTACATGTTCTAGAGCCTGCCTGCTCAAACCACTTTCTCTCCAACTGCTTTAACCTAGCTGTTTATTTTACATGTCTGCAGTTATGAAGCTATAAAAACCGTCCAGTGCACTCCATGATAGAAGCAGGGTTAATAAACAGCAGGGTACTAGATTGAGTTTTGGTGTGTGGAGGAACTTAATCTGACCCCTCCACTGAATAAAACAAACCTTTAACTGCCCATTTTATGCCTTTATGTATTAGAAAATGTAGCAATAAGGGGCTGTGGAAAAAGAGCTGTAATCATCAAGGGAGAGAGGGATTGTATTGCTTACCAAAAATGTGTATTTGACGGAAAATAGAAGATGAGGGAAAAGGGTTTAAATGATATACATGCCTTTAAAATTCCTAGAAATCCAGAGCATGATCCTCAAATCAATTAAATGCAGGGGAGATTGTTATGCATATTACTGGTTGTAGGAGTTTTAGTGGTTACTGTTTAAAAAAGGGGGTGAATTTCTCTTCCATTTAACAATTAAAAAAATCCTCATCCAATGGAGATCCATTTTACATAGGACTAAATCCTGGCTCCAAGTCTTTTTTCGTCTCTCCAGAGAATCACATAGCTGGATAACAGAAGTCGTTTAATGAGGGGCTCACTTATAAGCTCATCTCGACTGTCTGCAGTCCTGGAGTAATGATGGGAAGATAAAGGCAGCAGTCATAGAAACAGTGCTCATATTTCCTGCCTGCAGCGCCGACACTATATGTATACATAGATATGAATAGTCTCGTTTATTATCCTCTGAAAACATGACATCTTGTGAAAAGCCGAAGCTCTCAGGCTTTACTGTCGTAACGTTATAGTGACTGAACCACCTTCCTGTGGAGAATGGAAAAGGAATCTGTTAAATGTTAAGGGCTTCTACTGTTTTTTTACACAGTTAAACACTGTAAGTTCAGCTTTATCAAAAACCTGTGTGATAACTGTGGAGAGCTGTTTCATTCATAATAAAAGGCAAAAGCTAAAAGTTGTAACTCCTCCTGCCCATTGAGTGGTCCACTCACTGCATTAATGATCAAATGTAGGCAGACTTTTACCCTCGCGTTGCTTCTTTTTAGTTTTGAGCCTAAATCTGAGAAATCATTTTGTGTCTTTATTGTCAATGTTACCAGAATATTGTAGACAATATATTTATACTTTGGACCAGACAACATTTACACAATTATTCACTTACTATATTTTTGTTTTTCTTCAGTAAGTTTAATATTCTTTTTCTGCAACGCTCTAGAAGTTGTTTGGATAATTTTTTTTCTTTCTTTGAATTGCATTTTGATGAAAAAGTTGTGGTCTTAACCTTTATTTAAATAAATACAGGTATAAAATATTACCTGCTAAATAAACAGATGTCCTGTTAAATAAAACCTAAAAAAGGGTTCATTTATTTTTTATCGTTAATTTATCAAAAATGAATTAGCTTATGTAATTTAAGATTTATTTGATTAAATATTTATGTTTTTGCTAATGGAATTACATTTTTTAATACCAAATTACCGTAACAAATGTACATATTCAAACTTTCTTTTTATTTCATGCTCTTTGTCTTTTTTATTCTAATCAAATTCAAATGAAGGAGCACATTTTTCTCTTTGGGGAGGTTCTTTCTAGTTAGCAGGTTTCTCTTAAAGAAAAATAACTCTGTTAAAAATAGGTTTGCTGTTAATAAAACATTAGTTTGAACCCTTCACCTAAACACTCGCCCAAAACATACAAAACACTTAAAAAAACAAACAAAACAAAAAAACTGAGTTTTTCAACACAAATATAAATTGCTAGCACTGTATGGTAAAATATTATTCAAAAGCAATAAGTAATAATGATGGACAATCAGCATAGTTTTAATATTGTTTTAAAAGAAATTAATGAATGGATCTTTTCCCTCTTTGAAAGAGTAAAACCCTCCCATTTTTACCTTTAAGAAAAGAAACCATGAATGCTTGTGGATCCTGAGGCGCTACACACTGAGCCCATAGCCGGAGGCAAAGGGTATAAAGCAAAGCTCAGCAGTGGGGTTCTGCATGTTGTTGTCTTTAGAAGTGCTGGTAGCACTCGGATCACTGTCTTTAGATTCCAAGTTGAACCCAATGATCCTACAAAGTTGCTCTCAACTCTGCCAAATCACTGTTGTTGCAGTTATGCTCCTTGAGAGAACT